TATGTCATGATTTGAAGGATATGCTTTGATTTTTCCTATCCACTTTAATTACCCACCCACCGACGAGCATGACAAGTCATTCGGATTCTGTAACTTGACACTACACTTAGCTTCATGTCTTCCTCAAATCCTACTTTAATTTACTTTAAGTTGTTCTTACTTATCTTATAAAGAGTTGTTATGAGATTGCTAAAACTTTCATGTAAGGAAATTATAGATCTTTTTTTAAACCGCGTGCGGCGCCCAGTTTGGTTGGGTGATTTCGGAGGAGTGGGAGTTACGTTTAGAAAAATGTAAATTTAAAATGTAAATGTAAAAACGTGACAACTCCGGTACCCATTTAAAAAATAGGGTATCGTACCTACCATGCATTTGATTGGTCCAAATCATTAAATCCCTTTTAATTTAGATTTAAATAATTCAACTGCATGATTCTGATTGGTCCATGTGGATAAAGGTACGGTACCTTATGGGTACCATAGAATCTACCATGTAAAAAACAATGTTTACATTTAGAAAAAATGAAATAAAGTGAATGTCGAGCCCTCTATATTTTGGGACAACGTTGGGAAATCATCATGGGGTACTGAGATAATTATGATGATGATGATGTTGGGAAATCAGATCATCACTAGCTTCCTACTTGCAGCGGCGGAACCAGAACCTTTTTTGAGCGGGTGCTGAAAAAACACTACAGTGCATGTTTAGCACACATAAGTCTGTGCCTTTTAGCTTTTGTACAGTTTAAAAAGTCAATATAAGCTTCTAGTTGTATATTTGGCATGACAAATTTTAAGAGTTTTTTTAGATGCTACATGGAGTAGCATCTGAGAAAAACCTGTGACTTTTAGTATTAATTCGTCCTGAGAGTTTGTATATCAAGCAGAACTAAATCAAACAGTCAGCTTTTTTCCAAACAGCTATTACATTTTTTTAAATCTTTTGAGTCACTAAAAATCACGTAGAAATAATTACTAAAACCCCGACAAAAGTATCTTTTCAACTAGTTGTGTCAAACATACCCATATTAAACTCAAAACTAATAAATTGTTAATAAATAGGTCTGGTTGCCTAAATTGAAAGTATTATAAAGTTGAATGTTTCCATGTGAAAACAAATACAGTTAGTACGGAAAATTAGAATACAGTGCTCATAATATCCGTGCAAATTTGCTCTAGTTAAAATCAATTAACCTAAGCACTTAGCACTCAGCACAGACTCAAGAGGTGACGAGTCAATATTGACGTTTTTAATTCATTCAATTACTTTGTACTCCGTATCAATTACTCTATATGTACTCCACGTGGTTTTATTACTTTGATGTCGTTTATTAAAACTTTGATGTCATTTCATATTACTGTTTCCTTTTTCTACGTAGTACGGAGTATTTGTTTAGGAAACGTCGTCGTTTTCCTCAATGAAATTTTAAAACGAAAACGACAGTATGTCATTGTCTTCCTTCAACTGAAGCAAACCAGTTCGCCGGCACTCAAAAACCAAGAAAGCACCAGGGGTGCCGGAATAAATAGAACATATATATACCTTGAGTACTCCGGCGAAGGGGTGGCGCCGGCACCGGCTCGCCCACCCCTGGTTCCGCCACTGCCTACTTGTGAATACACTAAAAACACAAATGGGTTGGTAGAGATTCGTCAAATTTTATGGAGAATTTGGTAGAAATATGTTAAAGGCATGCCAAATAAAACAATTTGGTACGTAATCATCTGTCAATCCGTGATAAATTTGTAGTGTACATTAAATAATGTTATGACAACCAATGTTGAAAAGGTGTGCAGGCCAAGGAGTTAACTACCTATAAAGGGGTGAGACTCTAAGTCGAGTTTCAAGACACAGCAAACCATGCCAAAGAGAAAGCTAGAGAGTTTGTGAGTGAGTAGCGATCCATTTAGATTTAGTTTTTCATTAGTAATTGGGCATCAGATCATGTTGTTCCTCAGGTCCTACTTGTAATTCACTAGCAGTCATAGGCCCATAGTGACATGTTCGACTATAATATTATTGATTTTTTCAGATCAGATCAGACCTCCATAGTTATAAAATACACAGAGATCAGAAATTTACCAGACCAGACCAGAACAGATTAGATCAAACCAGAAAATTTCAGTTCAAAAAAAGATCCTAATACTAGCCGGCCAGTAGCGATAAGCCGATAACAGCAACATCGTCAATAACTATTAATGACTTAATAAACTGATGATGGCCTAAAAACTGAATGGCATAATAAACTCGCATCGACATTCCTGTTTTTTCAATTTTATTATTGTATTTGTCACACCTCAATGTATACATAAGAGTAGACACTTTTTAAATTGAATTTCAATATACTACTTCGTAATATTTATTAAGGAAAAATATCATCGCATTAATATTAGTTGAGCTTAATTTCAAGTTGCAAAGCATGCATTTGTGGCAAACAAACCAATAAATGGTCGAGACTATGAGGTGCCATATTCTCGTTACGTACTAATACTGAAGTCTTTGTGTAACATAGATTTACAATAGATACTATATAATCAAGTTTAGCAAAAAACTCAGTTGCATTAAACAAAAAATGAACAAATTTAAGCCATGCCGCCTCATCTCCTGTTTATAAAATTTTGACACAAGCTAAGCTAGTTTAATTTATTTTAGGTTGGTTATTATTCTTGAAAAGATATTTCATGATATGATATGATACCCATCGATTAAGGCATAACAATTCCTAGATAACTAACATCAGAAATTTAGAATTGGCTTGTGTTTGAATTACAAGATTGTACCTACTCTAAACAATGGTCCATGATGATAAGGTATTGAGCTTTTAGTTATTCTTTTCCACACGCAACATGCACCTTCATCAATGTCCAAGTTTTCTATTTCTTTAAACATATCTCTTAACTTCCATCCTGGTGTTCTAGTAGCAATATTTCCTCCCCATATTGACTTCTTGTCCATTACTTGAACTACTTAGCATTCAATTTCATGTAGATTTTAAAGTTAACTTGTCTTCAATTTAATTTGTAATTGTTTCATATAATAACCCAATTCTCAATTAGTGTCCACCCGTTTTAATAACCACAATTATCGATTATTCTTGTATAAAAGAGATGTCCCACACCTTTGTCCGTTCCTTTTTAATCGAAACATTCTCATTTCCACACTTGTCAAACACAATTTTGACCTTCATTATAGTTAATTCTTTATTTGTAAAAAAGTAAGAAATCCATCAATTTATGAATCATTGTAATGAGATAAATTCAAAAACATTTTTGATTTTTTTATTCTCATACATTAATAAATAAAATGTAATCAAAGTAGAGCATGCGAACAAAGCCGGTTAGCCGGTCATGTATGTTTGAAGGCCTAGGGGCGGAGAATTAAAATGGGTCTACTTCGTAAAAAAATTGTAAAAAGTTGCATAACACTCTTTTCTCTCAACCAATAATATTATAGTACTGGGATGGTGGTCCTTATTTTGGAAAATAACAATTGTGGTCGTATTTGTACATTTTACTAATGTTTTGGTCCTTTTTAAGGAATTAATTCTAGGAAAAATTGATAGTAATAATCCCAACTATTGGTGGCCCGCTCATAATAATCTCAACTATCGGTTTTTCAGAATAATCCCATTTATAGCCGGTCTGGCATGACCGGGTATAAATAAACTCATATAGTTTCTAAAGTGGATAAGAAGAAATATAGAAGGTAATCTCTATAAATAATCCCAACTTTTAATTTTTACTCTTAATTTCATTTTAAATTTCACATGTTATTCTGGTCATGGACCATTATTGGCGGAGGATCCATATAGTTGGGATTATACAAAAATAATCAATAGTTGGGATTATTATTAGCAGACCGACAATAGTTGGGATTATTATTTTCAATTTTTCCTTAATTCTATTATTATCAACTCCTAACCCTGTCCAATGATGTGATCATTGAGAATTGTTTCATTTTCGGTAGCTAAATCATTCTTTTTCTATGAGTTCTCATCTTGAGGAGTTAGTTCAGAGCTTGACTTGTTTACACAAACAATTTTTTCTATTGAACATAACCTTTTCACTTAGCGCCGCTTTCTTTAATTTGCTCCTCGTTTTTCTTTTTCATATTCAGATTCAATCATTTTTATTACACGTACTTTGAAATTAATTAAATTATACTAAGTTTAATTATAATTGATTTTCTTTTTCTAACAAAATCAACAAAATAAACTGATCAATTAATCATATCAGAATAATCTGATTTCAAGTGAATTCTTTTATGAAATTCTATGAGTATACTTTTCATCAAGCGTAGACCGTGTTCACAAAATTTCAGCTTAAATTTCAACTGGGAAGTTAGCTACAAAAATTATTGAAAAACACTGCGCCAAAATATGCATAAAAATGTAATGTTTTTTTTAAATAATTTATTTAACTAACTTCTAAGTTGAACTTTAAACTACTTTTTTTATAGATATTCTACACTTCATAGAGAACATGTCCATTAATTGTCTTAAAAAAATCCACCCTAACAAATCTAAAAAAACTCCACCCGAAAAATCAGCGTTGTCACACCACTCCTATTATGAAAAGCTAAATTTAGGCCCATTTTTTCATGTTTTGTGTGCCTAGTGTACTTCTCCGTTCTTAAATAAGTGCAATGATCAACTTTTCACATTTGCCGAGATACAACTTTGACCATCAATATATATAATTCTCTAGTAATAAAAAATTTAAAAAAAGATTTTAAAAATATACAATGAGACAAATTTAACAGTATTTTTTTTTATAAAAATATATATGAATACATTAATAAATAAAACGTAGTCAAAGTAGAACCAGAGGCGGTGGGAGGGGGTGGCCTGGCTGGGCCGTGGCCCAGGGCATTTTTTTGTATTATATATACATAGTTCAATTTTTTTAGAAATTGGCCCAATGCAAAAATGAAATTGACCCAGTATAGAAAAATTATGGCCCAGTGCAAAAAACCAGCCCAGCTCCAGTACAGTGAAAGGAAAAGAAGCGTACTTTGGGCAGCATAGCGAGAGTCCAGAGACGGGCATCGTCCATCATTCACGAACCCGGCACCTGAGTCACCTGACGCACGCAGCACGCCTCAGCCAGCACCGCCGGACGTCGCCATCTGCTCGCAGACTCTCCGGAGACGCACCCTAGTCCCTAAGCTGCTCTCTGACTCGCCTTCTGCTCCTGCTCCGGTCTGCGGACTACGAACTGCGCAGCTATGGCTTGAGTGACACAACCAATTTGGCGTTTCTCCTCTCCTCTCTTCAAGCTCACTGCTTGTCTCCTTCTGCTCATCTGAGCCAAGGTAATATTTTTTTTTGTTTTTACAATTTTTTGATTAATCAATTTTATTTGTGTAATTGTGTGCTTTCAATTGTGAAATAAAAAATTGTGAATTTTTTAAAATATTAATATGAATTATATGAATTAAAATAAAATATTGATTAGTTTTTTTTTTTTATTTTTTGGGTAATTTTAGTAGGTAGGATGGCTACTCAATGTCTCAATCTACTTCCAAAAAGGGAAAAATCACATTGCGTTCGTTTTTTATTGCAACATATAGTTTTTTATTTTTATTTTTTTGGGTGATTTTAGTAGGTAGGATGACTTCTCTGATAATTGACAATCATATATACTCTCTAAGAATGCAGCAAGAATGAAATAAGAAATGCTCAATGGTGCATGTATTAGAGATGTAAAATATATGGATATATGATCTAAAAGACCTCTGCTCTAACCTCTTCATCTGCAGGTCTTCATAAATTTGGAGAACTGCTAACCACCTCTTCTTGTGCAGGGCTTCGTAAATTTAGACAACATATAGTCATTTGACCTTATTGGTTTCATACCTTAAAGCTACGTCAGATTTTTGTGGAGATAGACAGGTAAAAACAAAATCTGTTTGACAAAAGAGCCGTGAGCAGAGTTAGGACTATAAAGGTGTTATTTATAGCAGCAGATTCAAAGCAAGTTCCATAAAGGTCTTATAAAACTCATCTTGGCACATTGTGTATTTATAGATACACTGATATAGATTCCACATTTCCACCACATCGTGACGAAGCTTCCACATTTTCTGGAACGTTCCTTCACAGTTTTCTCTACTTTCCGCCAACTTCTGCCTGTTTTGCGATCACTCCTCTCCAATGGTAACTTCATTTCTCCTTTACAAATATTCTTACAGTTTTTTTGCTTTTCGTTTGCAACTATATTTGCATTTGTTTTCTGGAATGGCAGGAAAGCATAGCTTCGAGTAGCGGAACTTCACCTAACTCTCAACAGCCTCATGCACAGTCCCTTAATGATTGCTTGAGTCTCCTTAGAGGGGGGAGAGACGAGCAGCGTTTAGCTGGTCTGCTATTGGCAGCAAAGCTATGTGGGAAGGATGACCACACTGCTATTCAGAAGGTCTATGATGCGGTAGGACCACAATTTATGCACCGCCTCTTACAGACTGGTAATGTTCAAATTTATGCAATTAAATTTTATAACAGAGATGCAATCAATGATTCTCGGCATATGTTTTGGACATTCACATTTCGCATAAAATCCACCCTATGATATTTAATGTGTAAGCAATCGTCAAGTAATAAGTAATAACTACTCAGTCATAAGCCCTGCCGAGTTGTCTATCTACTCTCTTTCATTAAAACCCGGTTACTCGGTGAGTAATGGCAACTTTAGCGACTTAGTGAGTCCCCTGTTTCAAAAAGCAACACAGTCGTAGTTAAATGTGAAAATTGGGTCATTTTGAAATTAAAAAAACGTTTTTATGGTTTTTAGTAGCTCATATAACGGTAAAAGTGTAACACTATAAATTCTCACTCAAGATGTGTTGTAGACATGGATAAAGAAGGCGATATTTCAGATCTTGAACTGAGTGATGGTTAGTTTGGGATAGAAGCAGTTGGGATTGATTAGATGATGAGATATTCTTTAAATGTTTTATGGATTATGCTTGTTACTGTTGGTTACTTGATTATTTTTCACTCTATTTATAAGATTAGTATTAGAGAATATTACCCGAAATAGGACTAAAAAGGTTTCAAAATTCCAAGATAGTACTGCCATGTTTTTATTCCCAAAATTGGACTAATTACTGCCATATTTTGGCAGTATCAAACTTCAAACCTGGCAGTATTTTCCAAACTTGGCAGTAATTACTCCTATTTTGGGAATAAAAAACACGACAGTCCTATTTTTGAATTTTCAAACTGTTTTAGTCCTATTTCGGGAACTTTCCCATTAGTATTATTATAATATTGTATGCTATTTTCTTATAAAATTTCTAATACAAGCTGATAGGGAGTAGGGACATGGACCTACAATAAGAATAATAATAGTAGAATTACTAAGGGGTGTGATATTGTATAGATAAGGGTTTGGGCTAGGTACTAGTTAGCTTGGGCCGGCCCGTAAGGGAATTTATTATAAATAGGAGTGGGAATGGAATAAGAGGGTAGGCAAAATTTGGATTGGGATTAGGCCTGGGAGTGTTGAGACTACTCGAACAGTCTCTACTGTATCATTCTCTTTTCCTTTATCAATTCTACTTCAATTTTCATCTCTTCTACTCTGGTTCCTAACATTGGTATCAGAGCCAACGATCCTGCGGGCTGTGAATGACACTAACGCGATAAAAAAAATGGAACATCGATTAGAGAATCTCGAGCAAAATGTGAAAAACGTCCAGCGGAAACTGGAACGCCACTGCACAGAGGTGCGATCAATAGCAGACAAGTTGGATGGGGTGATGGCCGAGCTGCGCCAAATCGCGATGAACCAGAATCATCGGCAATCCCTGGGAAGGTCGCAAACTCACAGGCAACGATCTTCAGCTGCTAGCGAGAAGTCTTCGCACTCGCGAGGTAATCCACATAGTCCGCATGTTTCATCTCAATCCCAAAGTCCGCATGTTCTATCGCGAACTTCAACGCAAGCAGATTTTGCCAGTTCGCAGACTTCCTCCCAAACAGCTTCGCGAACTGTTTCTCATCGTTCGCACTCGCGAACCGACTCTCCCAGTTCGCACTTGCGAACCGACTCTCCCAGTGCGCAATCGACAACTTCGCCATCGCGAACTGTTTCCAGTTCGAAGTCGCGAACAGTGACTTTTTGTTCGCTGTCGCAAGTGCCGTCGCAAGATGTTTCTCCAATTTCACAGACTTCAACGCTAGTAGATGCTTCCAGTTCGCAGGCTTCCTCACTCGCCAACCCTCACAACTCATCGCCCCAAGTCTTCTCTCACCAGGCACAACTTTCCTCGTTACAAACTCCACAGTCTGAGTCGAAGCCAGATGAATGGGTAATCATGGAATCGAATCCAGACTATATACGCGAGGAGCAAGCAGCAGTTGTAGTTGTCCCCAAAGCTGGCGCAATTGCTGAACACCTATCTGTTTCTCAGGATCCTATTTTGGTAGTTGGTTCCGTTGCTGCAAGCGCTAATGGATCTCTTATAAGGGAAATGGGAGTAGAAATCTCCCCAGACTTGGTTCAAAATTCATTTGAACTCTTGATAGCTTCCTTGAGGCACAAAGATGCAGAAAGAATTTTCATAAAATGCTTAATGAAAGAGACTAAAGCAGAGTTACAGCACTATGAATACTTTTCTGAATTCAGGGATAAAGCCCTGTTGTTGGAAGAGAAGAATAGGGCAGTAAGGAGAGGAAAGTACAGAGATGAAGACAAGAGGGGGTGGAAGGAAAAAGGGGGCTGTAGGAACAAACCTCAGCATTGGGTGGTTGGAGTGAAGGGAAAGACACTTGCCGGTAAAGATGAGGAAGAGACATGCCTAGAGATATCTCAATTACCAGACAGCTCCAGTAAGCATGTAGAAAAGGCAAACCAAGTGACTGAGTTGTTATTATTGTACCAGCCAGGAGTGCATGAACTGAACTTTCAGAGATCAGGTTTATCCAATGAAGGAGCAGTTCAGGGAGTGAGGTGTGCCCATGCTAAAGCATTATCATGGTTTTATAAGGCGGTTGATCAGGGTGAGGCAAGGTCAAGGGAATTTCTTGGAGAAATAGGTGTAAGAGGAGCAGGAGTTGGGAGGAATTACTCAAAGGCAATAGAGTCGGCTTATGATACTTTTGAATGCTTTAACATGAAGGGTTATGGGGTGAAGAATAACTATATCTTGGTAAAAGAGAATTTTGACAAAGATACTGCCAAAGATGAGTCTGCTTGGTTTTCCATCCTTGGGGTTATGTATTTGAAAGAGCTTGTGGTTAAAAGGAACTTGAAGCTAGCCGGCAAGTATTTGACAGGGGCTGCTAATGGGGGTCAACGAGCAGTCTACACTTGTATATCCTCTATGCTGCAATTCAAACAGGAGATGGCTCAGAGGGATGCATTAATAAAAGTGGAGGCTTTTCAACCAGTATGTCTGGAAGTCCTAAAGAGATCCACTGATAGAACAACTGAAGTTCGGATAGGTTTCCTTGAAAAGGTTAAAGCTGGTTGTGCCTTATCCTCAATATGTTCTGAAAGAACCAAACTCATGTCTCAGAGACTTAGAAACCAGTATCTTCTTGTGAAAAGATATACACCTTGGAGAGATCAGATGCTTGTGAACTTGTTCAAGGTCTTGTCCAAGGTGAGGTCAATTCTCTGGAAAAGATGTTGCAACAAAAGAAAAGGATACAACAGGAAGCACAGATGCTGGAAGATTCAAACTTTTGCAACAAAAGAGAGCTTTCTGCCTCCAGGACATTGTTTCAGCTCCCTGCAGTGAAGAACATGAAGATGCAGCGTCAAGTACTAGAGCTAAAGATCCAAAAATTCAGGAGGTACTGGGAGGGAAGAGGCGCCAGGATGAAGATGAATTTGAAGATCAAGGCTGTTTCCTATCACCCACCTTGAGGACAAGGTGGTTATTCAAGGGGGGAGATGTGATAGGGACATGGACCTACAATAAGAATAATAATAGTAGAATTACTAAGGGGTGTGATATTGTATAGATAAGGGTTTGGGCTAGGTACTAGTTAGCTTGGGCCGGCCCGTAAGGGAATTTATTATAAATAGGAGTGGGAATGGAATAAGAGGGTAGGCAAAATTTGGATTGGGATTAGGCCTGGGAGTGTTGAGACTACTCGAACAGTCTCTACTGTATCTTTCTCTTTTCCTTTATCAATTCTACTTCAATTTTCATCTCTTCTACTCTGGTTCCTAACACAAGCTGAGTCATCACCGCCTACTGAGTAACAATGTAAATACTTATAATTCTTTTTGATGTTGTTAGGGATGGGGAAAGGAAATTCAGGAGGTGGAGGTGATGAGAACCGAGATGCATACTTGCAGTTATCTATCGTAGTGTTTTCTGCATTTTGTAGAGTTCCGGAGATCGCTGCTTCTGAAAGCATGGTTTCCATGTTCCCGCTTATTGTGGAGGTTACATCCAGAGAGTATGTTTTCTTGATTAAATACTCTGTATTTAGCATATATTCCGTCCATCCCAATTTGTTTTTTCCACTTTGGATTATGAGGGTGGGCTGAAGTTAGAGTTAACTCTTCCATGATAACAATTAAATTAGTATGAATAATAAAAGTTTACATGTTTAGGAACTGTGCTTTAACTCCATTGAACCACAAAACTGAATTCAGCTGTCATAAAAATTTGATACTAAAAAATAGATAATGAAAAGGAATTCGATTGGCTGCAAATTTACATGTTTAGGAACTGAACTTTAGCTTCTGTTAAACCACAAAAACTAATTTTAAATATGATAAAAGAATTATACACAAATTGAAAGAATAAAAAGGATTCCTGTTAGCCATACACACAGTGAAAGGGACAAATAAATTGGGACATAGGGGTATATATGCTAGTTCTTGTACTTAATTTATTCATTTTCCTGATTTCAATTTGGTTTGTTTTTTTTGAATGGCGATTAGGTGATGTTGTTTCTTGTTTTCGCTATTTCTGTTTAATCGTGCTATTTCTGTTATGCATGATTAGAAATCCACTGTCCATAGTAATGCTCATTGTGGTGTTTGCTGATCTTGCAGATCAGTATCATCATCTCTCCTAGAAGAGTGTTATGAGATTTTACATTCAGTGTCTGCTGCTCATGAAGAAAAAGTTTACTCTGAGTATGCAAGAGAACTGGCCTCGTTGGTGAGTGGATAGCTGCTTGATATTTGTATCAATTACTAATCTTTACCCTAATTCGGTACTTAATATTTTGTTCTATTCTTTTCTTGATGTACATATATTTGTTATTTACAAAGTATTTTTTTAACTTTTCTTGCAGGTTGCCGTGTTATCAAAGCAATTTGCCATACTACAAAATGCCCTGAAATTTGAAGTGCTTAATCTGCTATCTTCAATCATGTCAAATAAGTATTCTGTATGTGTTGTGCTTCCACGTATGCATTTCTCAAGTACAGTTGTCCACATTGTATGCTGTGCACTTAGAAGTATCTTGTGCACTTAACTGTTTTCATTTTTTTCACATCACTCTTTGGCTCTTGATCTCTTTTAATCATTTTTATCCTTTTATCTTTTTATCTTCTATATCTTTCTTATGTTCTTTATCATTTTATCTGATTTTTATTCATTTTTATCTGTATCTCATCTTTTTATCTTTCTTATTTTTCTTATCTTTTTAGCTCCGGTTTCATGTGACAATTCACGTCATCCGACCCCAAACTCTTTTGGGACTAAGGCTTGGATGTTGTTTTTGTTGATGTTTTGTACTCTATGGCTCTTGATTAGTTTCCAACTTTCCATGGAATCTTTGTGGAAACTAAGCATTTTCATCCTTATTTATAAATATGCATACAATTAATATTTTATCCCATTGTTAACGGTTCCTATTACTGCTGTGTATTAGAATCTTAGTTTGATGTTGCAAATTATTTTTGGGAACAGCTATACATCAGATTATTAGTTTCCATGTTTTACTACCTTGTTATATAAAACAATTTGTGTAGAAAAAGTGTCTTTTCTTGAACCTGAGCTCTCAATCAGTTGATGGTTTTGAATTTTGTCAGTTGGAACATATTATGTTGCACAAAGTATTTTTCTACCTTCTTTGGCTGGCTATTTTTCAGGTGCCAGTTCATGATGCTCTTCGCTTACTTCCCAATGATGCCTGGACAACTAACCTCCGAATTGGCATCGTAGATATTCTGCAAAACCGAGTTGGTATGTTCCCTCTACTTGTGTGTGCTGACAACCTTAAAAGATGGCCCATAGAATTGGTTGAGCTCTTATTTATCATTTTTTCACATGCAGCACCTTCGTCAAAGTTTCAGGCACTTGTCTTGTCTGAGTGTGTCATGTCTATAGTCGGTGAAAGGTGGCTTATTGGGGAGATGTGTTTACGTGATGCTACATACTCTCTTCCTCCAGATAGGTAACTCTGAAACAGTTGGGGTTGAACTAGTACCATTTTTCCCTTTAAAAACTAGGGTTACTTTGACTTTGCACCCCATTTTTAATAATCTTTGCTTTTGCACCCCCAACCCCATATGAAAAGACAAAAATGCCCCATCCATCAACAATTTTGTTGGTCTTCAACATATTCTTGATCGAGGGCATTTTTGTCTTTTCTTATGGGGTTGGGGTGCAAAAGCAAAGATTTTTAAAAATGGGGTGCAAAGTCCAATTTGAACAATAAAATGGGGTGCAAACTCAAATTACCCCTAAAAACTACTAACCATCAAAATTATTCCTCAGAGTTTGATTGTTACATACACTTTTGCTCTTCAGATGTCTACTGCTGGTTTTGGAGTCAACCCGTGTTGAAATTGATGTCATTTTAAACGAGCTTGGTTATTTGAAGTATGAGTCCTCTAAGGACTCTTCATCAACAGCTGATAAGATTCTAGTTAAGCAAAAGAATCTTGGTGTTGCTTTCTCTTTGTTGGAAAAAGTAATCAAACTCTTATCATCGTTTGCTGAAGCTGAAGGTATTGAAGCTAATTTACTTTTGGATATGTCATATACCATGTAGTATATACCATGTACAAATCCCTCTCAAACTTTGTAGTTATTTTGCAGTTTTTGGATATACCGTATATCATATACAAATTCCTTTCAAGAGAGCATAAATTGAAAACAGAATGTTTCTTTCATAAGCAATGAAAGACCTCTTTGGTCTTAACTTTCACTGCATTCAAGGGTTTTTACATTGTGGTATATGGTTCTTCTATTTATTTTACCTTTACTTGTTTCACAAGCTCTCTGCATTTAAATATACACACTACTCTGCCTGTATAAAGAATTACTAGCTCATAGGATTAACTAATGTGAGGCACACATCTAAGGTGGTGGTTTTTTTAATCTTTATTCTGCCGTTTACATAGAGTTGTCTCAAATTAGTGACAACTACACAATAAATTCTTCTTCTTTTTATTAAGATGTATGCCCAATAAAAGTGGTCATTTGAAATTTGGAGGGATCTATGTACTTTTTAAAGTATTCTAGTTTAGTTCAGCACGTAGGGTTAAGACCTAAACTAAAAGCACATCTCATACAACTATCTTGTATGATGTTTCTAAATTTTTTGTTCTTTCTTGTATGATGGTTTCACCACACCTATTTACTTCAAAAAGCATGAGTTGGGCTAAAATGAGAAAATTGTTTCCAGGCTAGATAAGAGAATATCCAGCTTCTTCTCTAGAAGCCCTTAGTTTAGATTTTTCCCTTTTCAAACCTATGCTTTAGAATCTGATATTGGAATAAACAAGATGCTGCTAGTGTTTTGCTACTTATGCTCGCAGTTGGTCTTTCATTGGGGTTTCCATATTATAGTTCTGTGTAAAACCAGAATATTTTTGAAGATAGCAATAAACCAAACTGTATTATTATTCGTAATATTAAATATTAATATTGTTGTTGTTGACTTGCTATCACCATCACCATCATCATTATGATTATTATGTACTGTAACAGAGCCAAACAAGAATTCCATCATTAGCGAGAGTACTTCAATCAAGATTATTTTTGGTCTCAACAAGACAACTGATGTCATTCTGGACTTCCTCAAAGATGCCAAGGTACTGGTATCTACTAGCATAACTGATTAGCTTCCATGGAGATACTCAATGCTTATTACAATTATCTCTTCAGGTACATGGGCTGAGGAAGGGAGATGATCTTTTGGCATCAGTGCGAATAGTTGGAAGGTACTAGCCACACCCTCTAACTAATGCCGGCCAGCAGGCCTATTTTTGTTCCCACCATTTGAAACCCATGCCCAGTTCTTGGAATAGGACTGGTCTTGGAGCTGAACATTTTTTAAATACGTATGTTCACAATTCAAATAAAATGAATTTGCCAGTCAGCCAACCTTTTCCCTTTCTGCAATTCCCTTGTTTGTTTCATTTTAGACTCAGCAAAAGATATGCATGCATATTTAGTGGCCCTCTCTGAGGTCATTTTATGCTCCTCAAATTGAAAATGTTGCTATCAATGAATAATTTCATAGGATAAGACAACATTCAAATACGCTTCATGATATTTGTTTTAACGTTAACCGATATTTGTCAATTTAAACAATATACTCAAGTATTATGTTTTTGAAAATCAAATTTCAAATATCAGTATTTATTTTTACATTTCATTTTTTAAAAACAACCCTGGTTCAGCTGTCGCGGAGGCCTTGAGGGTTGGTCCTCCATTATGGAGGCCCAATCTGGATTCAGGCCCTCCACGCGACCAGCCTTGCCTCCAGCATATCCTTATTAGAGCAGTCAGTGAACGAACTACAAGTATTAGAGCAGTTACTCTTTTATCCTTGTTAATCATATTCTATTGAGGAATGATCCAGCATTTATTTTCAGTTATCTAGCAGAGGCTCCTGATGCATGCAGAGAAAAAGTGATGGAGCTTTTAGGTTTCATGCTCTCAGTAGAAGGGGAAACAGAACTTAGGTGTGAAGTATTTAAATTTTCTCTGATAGTTGTTGCTATCGCTACCTTGTTCTTAGAGTTACCATTTTTTAAACCCGTGGATATTTATTGTCTGACAGGGATAATTTCATTTGATACTTGCAGTCCGTTCTACTCCATTTGCTTCTTGCTTCCAATGCTATGTCAATTAACAGCCGAGACTGATGGGTGTAAATTTTTAGCATCTTCTGGGGAATTTAGAGTGGTTAGTCTGCAATTGAACAGTGGTTGTTCTTGCTTGACTTGTCCTCAGTTTCTGTTTTTTCATGCTCAAAGCATTTATTTTACTGTTTTATCATTATTTTTTGACATGAAAGTTGAAATTTCATAAGTTACTTTGTATATTTTATTATCTTGGAAATGTATTTTCATCCCTCTCCACTTCTGTGAGAAAATTTATTAAGAATTTCCATTGTTTTGCAGATTGTTGGATGCATTGTTGATTTCATTAATAATGGTGACAAGAATGAGAACGATGATTCTATACTATTGGCATGCGATACCATTTTAAATTTTCTTCTAAAGGTTGCTCTTCTGAATTTGTCCTTAATATATGTATGTAAAAATGCTGGCATTGCGTAACTCTATTCTCTTGTACTTTTATTTATGTTAGAGAGAGCAATTTCAGTTCCCATTGCATGACCCCATCTTTGTCAAACTGTTAAGAGTTTTGTCACGTTGGGCAGGTAATATCTTCAGTTGTCAACTTGTCATACCACAAACTTGTCAAGCTGAGTATGTTAAATTTGATTTATATTTCATTTCCTTTTAAAGGTTGGATGTTTCTCCTTCTTTCACGTTTGCATTGTCTACCTATTTTACACTTCCTTCCCATTCTAGTAAAAAGTACATAAATGAATTGATTGCAAAGATAGTGAATTTGATTTGGAAGGCATAAAACAGGCAACATATTGATTCGTTATTCTGCTTAACACCCATATCACCATCTTAGCTTCCATAGTTCCATGGTGCAAGTACTTTTTTGGTAGGCGTTTTCTCATTTATGCACTTAAAGTGCTTTTCTGAAAAAGCGATCTCCAGGGTGTTCTTTTACTGGTAGTCACTTTTACCTTATTAAACACGTCAATTGCATTTCTGAAAAAGCACCAATCTTAATAAGCACTAGAAGTGCGTATTTACTGTTAAAATCCTTTTTTTTCCTGCCAAATAATCCTTTTGAAGGAAAGGTACATGTTTCTTAACTTTTAATTTTGAACTCAGAGGATATGGATGACTGTCCTAAAATTTTAATGGCTTCAAGCATTTGCTCCCTTATACTCAGTGCAACATGTGAGGCGGCTCTTGTTAATCATTCAAACTTTGACAGTGGAAAGCTGATAAGTCTGTCAAAGCTCATCAAAAGAAGTTTGACTCTGTGCGGGCAGGTAGTTTTCATGAATAGACTTTACGACACTGCTGATGTGGCTTCATTTTTCTGCGATTAGCTGTAAAGAACTTTCAGCGTGTTGTTGGATAAACACATGTACACTTTGTTTTCGGCGAAATAGGAAAAAAGATAGAAATGTTGAGGGAGATAAACAAGTGAGAAATGAGAAACTTCTCTGGGTTGGCGTCGAGATATAGTGAAGAGCGGAAGAAAATAGTGGATTCCACCACTTTTCCCTTCCTATTCCTTCTCCATTTCGCTTGTACCAGACACCTAAACTCTACTATATTTATTTTATCTTCTATTTCTCACTTCTTCCTCTCTTTCTCCACACATTTCTCTCTTCTCTATTTCTTTCATAAACTAAACACTAGCGTAATGCAACACAGTCATACCCCCTTTGTCACAATAAAAGTTAGTTGTAATATTGATTCTAGTATTACTAACACGAGTCTTTTTTATAAGACATGAGTAGTATATTTTCAGTGTTAATTTTCATTGTTCGTGCATTTGGTCGAGTTACATTACAATTCATTACTTTTTACCAAAACACACTAAAGAACAAAACAAACGGTTTATAAGTCTCGCGGCCATGTTTATAAGTAGTATCTATTGAGTTGGGTATAAACTGAATTGGTTTACGTTTTGAACCACCAATGAAGCCACAAATATAGAATATATTCAGTAGTGTGTGTGTGTTTGGCTCAAAGGGCATGTTTCTGCCATATTTGTTTTTTCATTTCAACATGTTTTAGTTAATAAATCTGTGGAATGACTCCAGGGTCTGACATCTGAAGATACTAATAGAGAAACAGATCTTCATAAGATCATTAGTTCTGGTATCCTTCTATCTCCTTGTCTGGTTGTTTTGTAATGAAAATGGTTTTCTTCTCTTGTACATATGAAAAGACTTGACCAATTACACACTTTTAATTTTTTTTAAGGTACAACTGCTTCAAGCCTTCAAGCCTACTTATAACTTTTAAATGTGGTTTGATTGTTCATTTAACTTGAATAATTTCATATTTGAATTGTTTGACTATTTTCGTAGCTATCCACAAAAACTGTTTTATGGATTGAATAGGGAAACATGACTTCTTTTTGGGGCGGATGTAGTATTATAACCCTTCTTAGGGCTTGTTTGTTGGGGGATTTTGGAGGGAAGGCGGGTTTTTTACTATTATGGCTGTATTTGTTAACTTTAGACTAGAAAACAACTATATAAATGGTTAATTAAATCGTTCATCCCGATATAAAACTGCACACTTTATTTTCAACCATTAAATGTCAGAAAACAAATGTCATACTTTTAAATGTAAGAATAAATTTAACAAGCTAATTAATTAAATAAATATAACTCTGCGTTTCTGCTCCTCTCTGAAACCTCCTAATCAAACTAGGGTTATCAAACTAGGGTTAATATAATTGGTTTATTTGTTTATGATTGGTGCAGGATATTCACAATGGGCTGACCGCTTTCCTAGTATTAAAGAAGCAGTGGAGAGGTAAATGTTCTCTTTACATTATTTCAGTGTGTACATTTTCGAGTTTCTTTTATGGTAAATTTAACCCAGTCATTCAAATTTTGAGCTACAAAGAACAACTGAACCAGTGAAGAAACTCAAGTGTTTTTTGACTCTTAGTAAATCCTTCCTGAGTAGCTTAACCCCTAATTTTTTTTATTATTTACAAATGGTTTGATACATTAACCGCGGTAATTTATCTGTTGTCCATCGTTGATTATATATACGCGCATATATAGAGCTTGTGGTTTTGCTTAGAATCATACTTTGTGTGCGTATGAGGGAATAGTGCAAATTATTCCACATGCTGAACATTGTAGTTTAGTGGTGGCTGTGGTGTAGTTTGTAATTTATTTACAAAAATTGCACGGTTTTAATTTGTTTTTTTGCATGCTTGGTATTTTTGGTGCCCCTAGATTCTTCCATCTCTCCTAAGATGGATTCTCATTTCTTCATGTGTGTGTGACTGTGTGTATAGTTCTCATCACCCAAAGTGAAGTGCACATATTGCCATATTGGTGCTAGTTTGTACAATCTGTTTCTCGTTTTGCAGATTATCTTTCTAATGAAGCTTTCATAGTCTCTCACATATGGTAAAGGGGGTCACTCAGCTACTTCATCAACCCGTAGATATTCTTGGTTTGATGCTTGCAAATGTGATGGCCCTTACTTGTCTGTGGATGATCGGTAGATAGTTTGTCTTTTGGGCATCAGGAAACTATCTAGCTTTGTTCTGGTTTTGCGCGGGTTGGACCCTGGAGGGCATGGCTTTGGTTCTGATTTTTGTTTACCTGTAAGAACCATAGTTGTATTATACGTAGTAATAATGTTTTGGTTGGAGGTTGACCTGTTGTCATACTAGTTTCAGTGATGTAAGCAATTAGGCATTCCAAAATGAAATCGTAGTTGTTGTTGTAAGCATCATATAAACAGTAGTTTTTTTTGAACAATTTTATCTGCATTCCCAATTGATTTTTAGTTGAAATTTGGTATGCATAAACTAGACTTGATAAAGAACATGATAAAAAAAATATCATCAAAAAATCCTACCGGTATCAAGAACTAGGTTTTAACCATAATTAATTTTTTTCAGTCCCATGAACCCTACTACTAGTTGACTAGTGGTGGACTGGTTCTGGGCCGACCGGCATGTGGCCCGGCCTGGCACTGTTTGGAACCGGCCCGGTGGCTCAGCCAGAGACTGGTCCGGGTAGGCCCGGTCCGGGGGTTACACAGGGCGGGCTCGGGTCACTCAAAAAAGAAATCGGCCCGGTCCATATTTGGGCTTTTTTTTCATTTTTTTGTTTTCCCGAGTTGGGCTGGGGGTTGGGGGTGGGGGTGAGGGGGGGGGGGGTCAGGGGTTAATTAGAAAATAAAAAAAATGAAGAAGTTCGGTGACCGGCCCGGACCCAGTGGAAACCCGGGCCGGTTCCCGGCCCGAAGCCAAACCCAAAAAGTCCGCCCAGGAATCCAGGATTGGCCCGGCCCTGGACCGGTCCATGCCTACCTACAACTGCTGCCGCTGCCCTAGTGTTGGACCCGGGCCGGGTCGGGCCCGGGCCGGGTCAAGGCCCGGTCGGGCCTCGGGTCCTCTAATGGTAGGCCCGGGACCGGCCCGGTCAATGACCGGTTCCGGTTCGGGCCGGGCCACCCGCCCGGGTCACGGGTCGGGCCACCCGCCGGGTCGGGCCGGGCCATTATATATATATTTTTTTTTTATTAATTATATATTATACAAATTGCTATTAAAAACAAAGTTCAAGTGCATTTATTTGAAATAAGAACTACATTTGAGAATTGAGAAAAAAACAACAATACGAAATACATTTTGTAATGAATATCAATTGGGATTTCCGCCACCGTTGGTTGTTGTTTTCCCTTTGTCACAAGACTTCATATGTTTTATTGGCATCCCGTATCCGTATGAACCCCCAAGCAACACTCTTTCTTGCACCACCTGCAAGTTGCCCACCACAGACCGGTCTTCGGGTCCTTCCACTTGTCAAAATTGTTTTGCATAAGGGAAGATGTACTTTCCATATTTAAAATGGTATATGTATAAGTAGGAATGTAGGATAATAAGAGAAGATGAAGATGGAGAAGAGTTCGAGATGAATTGGAGAAGAGATGTAAAAAAATGTTAGAAAATAGATGTATTTATAGATGTTTTTGAACCCCACTCCCCACACCACCACCCCCGGGACCCCCTGCCCCCCACCCATAGCCCCAACGGCTATATAGCCGTTTGGGAGGTTTGAATTTTTTTTTTTTTTTTTTTTTAAGTTATACACATATTGTAAAATAAATTAATTAATTTAATGAATTAAGTAAAACTAAAACTATTTGTACTTAGAAAAGTGGTTTGATTTATAATTTACAAATGTTACAAAATAGGTGTATAAGTATTTAAACAAATTACATATTCTAAATGTATTTTTAATTTAAAAACCGGCTTTATATTTTAGAAAAATAATTTTAAGTCATTAGATTGTAACCAATTAATTAATTTGAGAAGTGCTACATATGAAAAAGTGAACACATATTTATTTGAAACTAGTATGTGTACCCGTGCACCGCACGGCAAAATATGCACTTAAAGTTTTTGTTAAAATTGTAAGACAAATGAATTGTATGTGAATTTGTCAATGAAAGTTTAAAAGAAAATTCACTTGACTGTGGATAGATTTGCCAAAATAAGTCAAAATCCCTAGGGCTAGCCCATTTCAACCCATTTCACGGTGGGTAAGAGTTGTCATTTTTTTACCCAATGAACTCACTGATTCTGTGAGTCAACTTGCACGGGTTGCATGTTAAGTGAGTTGACTCATGCAGGTTGTGAGCAAAGCAAAATATAAACATATCTTTTTTTAATTTTTTTGTCTTGATGGTTTACTACCAAATTATTTTCAAATATACCTATTATTTTACAACCATTGTTCAACTATTATTTCTATATATAATACTTATTCAAATAAATCACTAAAAAAAATTACTCTAGCATATTTTTTATGTTATTGTTGAATATAATTTCTTAACAATTAATAGTCATTGTTTACAAATGTTTACTCAAAAGATTTAAATTGCATCTTTATTTTGTACAATGAATGTGTTTGATAAATACTCCTTGTCTCCCTTTACCCGATAAGATTCTCTTATTTTTCCCTTTCGATCCGTCCCTCTAACACTGTATCATACAAAATTAGGTAACGTTTGTGTGGTTTTAAATCAATCTTGTTTTATTCTTACTTTATCAATTCAATGTCATCTACATAAACTCATTATTATTAATAATTGTGTCACCACCTCATGTCTCAATGTTAGTGGGACGTACAGAGGTAGTACAATGTAACAGTTATCAAATTTAGTATAACAATGATTTAATAATATTTTAAATTAAACTTATCAAGTATTGTGTGCTTAGTATTTTAGTTTCTTGTGTGTGTGTGTGTGTGTGTGTGTGTGTGTAATTTGAATGAACAAATGAGAATGCAATCTCCGAAGAGAATTAGAATGAACCGGAACGTTGAATCGGAACGTTAGATTTAAAACTTGTGCATTATGTGAAGTATACAAATATTTGTTACCATAAATAAAAAAAATGCAGTGACATTTTTTAAATAAATTAAACCTTTCATGTCCATTTAAATATAAATATTTATTTATATTTGACTACCAAAATTTATTCAAATATACTTATTATTTATATTTATATATACACATCTATAAATATAAATACACATATATAATATTGGAATACATAAGAGTAAAGTTTTGGAAATTGAATAGTTTTTCTTGAATTTATTGTGTTGCCACATGTCATTTTCGCACACAAAGGATGTTGCCACATGTCAAGAATTCATCTAAAGAGTTCTCCAAGGGTTTGCTTTATTATATTATATAGATATGAAGTACAAGTTTACAAATTAATTTGAACTACAACTACAAATTTAAAATTTTGAAATATGAAGTACAAGTTTACAATTTTGAAATATGAAGTACAAGTATAAATAAATTTGACAAGTGCTATATAATACATTTTGTAATAAATTCTAAAATACTAATCAATCGGAATCTCCGGCATAGGTAGAGCCACCATCGGTTGTTGAGTCATCCATAAAATCTTGGGAGGGGGTGATGCTCAATTCTTGAGTTCTACGTGCGGCCTTCAACGAATCGTGGTAGCATATAAGCGTCTCAAGAGACTCCGCGCTCAATCTCGATCTAGATGCCGTTAGGACGTTGCCGGCCGAACTAAATTCTTGTTCCACAGCAACTGTTGAAACCGGCATTGATAGTACTTGCTTAGCCATCCGTGCTAAAATCGGGAACGTTCTTTCTTTTGACTTCCACCAGTCTAGAACGTCAAAGTCATCATTTTCTTCAAAATCAACTTCATATGTTAAATACAAAGTAATCTCATTCAATGCGCTTTGTTCAGTGACATGAGTTGTTTTAGTTTTTTTCATAAGATTGCCAAATGCAGATTTAAAAATCGATTTTCCTTTAGATGAAGATGTTCGTGATGGGGGAGGGGGAGCGTTGCTATATTGTGCACGAAATTCATTAAATAAGGCATAAAATAAAGTACTAACCTCGTTGTATTCCGTTTTCGGATCTATGGGGTTATCGTCATACATTGGAAATTCACCGAAAAACGCAAGATAATAGAAGTTGAAACAATCTTCCAAATTAGCAAGTCTATAACGAGGATCGAGAATAAATGCAATACCATAAATATGGGGAATATGCGCATAATATTTTAAAAACTTTTCCTTCATATGATCACAAAAATAATGAACGAAAACGGCATTTTGAAATTCTTTAAAAGCATCGGCGAGATTAACAGCTTGTGGAATAAATTGGTTTGCGGTAGGTTTATAAACATGACTAAAAGTTTCAGTAGCATTAAAAAAATATATCAAAACATTACAAATTTTTTCGCAAGTGTCGATCTCAGCCGCGTTTATAATATAGTTATCATGTTCTTTTAAAAAAGCAGGAAAATGTTCTTTATATCTAAGAACAACTTTAAGTAATTTATAAGTACTATTCCAACGAATACTCAAATCTTTAGGAAAAGCAACATATCTCACACCTCTTTCAGTCAAATAACTTTGCCATTTTAATCTAAGTTGACCATTACCCTAAATACGTCTAATCCCCCCCTTTATTACCTCCATGGAATCTCCTAACGCTTTTAAACCGTCTTGCACACATAAATTTATAACATGACATGCACAACGTTGATGAAAAAATCTACCCATCAAAGAATTGGCACCACACAACTCACGCAATCTAGGTATAGCAGCAGTATTATTAGTAGCATTATCGAAACCAATAGCAAACACCTTATCAATCAAATTATACTCAATTAAAATACGCTCAATCAAAATATAAATATGTTCAGCGGTGTGACGATCATTAAATTCACGAAAAGCAAGAACACGTTTATGCATATTCCAATCCTCATCAATATAATGTGCAGTCAGACCCAAATAATATAAATGATGAAAATCATCCTCCCATATGTCAGAACAAATAGTAACACGCCCATCAAAGTTTGCAAAAAAATTTTGTAACCTTACCTTTTCCGCATTATAAAGCCTTATTATTTCTTTCTTAACAGTTTTGCGACTATAATTTCTAAATTGAGGATTTAAACTACCTTGTGCATAATCTCTTAAAGCAAGACTTTCAGAAAACAAATAAGGCAAATTTTCTTCACAAATTAAGTTAGCCATACCAGTCAAATTTTGTGCATCATTGTAGGAGAAATTACCAAAAGGTTGAGAATTCGCAAACCTCGATATTTGAGTTTGCTTCCCCGTTCCGCCGCCTAATTTTGCATACTCCACGGGGTGCTTTGCCTTAAGATGCCTTGCGGCGGATCCGTATCCGCCGGAGGTTCCCAAACTATAATTGTTGTTGCACCACTTGCAAGTTGCGTGCCAATAGCCGGTTTGTGGGTCCTTCCATTTATCAAAATT